TTTTGGCTAATATGAAGTTACATGGTTTGATTGTATAGCTGTTCATAGCAAACAGATCTCATTGAGACCATGGGAAGATACCACGAACATATGGGCATTGTATAAAATGATTTTTAAGGCTATGAATTTTCGCAATCTGTTGATTTATATCATTTGTGAAAATGAAATTTTGCAAACGTTGTTAAAACTTCATGTGGATAAAAGAAATTTTCACAGCTACAAAATTGTGAAATTTTGGATCACCATGGTAATGAAAAGATAAATCTATTAAAATGCTATTGTTTATATCTATGTATTTTTCTTCACAGGAACGGTTAACCTTGAAGCATAAAAACACTGGTAAATGGGCAAAGGGTGCTACAAGGTTTGGAAAACACAATCCACAGGTTAGTGGTCATTTCAAAGATTTTATTTCATATTATAAGTGCCTCACTAGCTTAAGGTAACAATTGAATTCATTGTGTGTGTTAATGTCACAGATTATGTCCACCCATGTGAGAATTTGAGGTTCAAATTAATTTGTAAAAATAACAGCAATGGCTGCAGTTCAAATTCAAGTTCATCTTTTTTGCTCAGTGACATCGCCAAGTTTGCAGAGTAAAGAAGCATCTTAATGTCATACTTTTAACATTTTGAATAATAGCAACACATATATCAAGGGATTCTAGGGAATATACATCTTTTTTTTTTTTCTTTTTTTCAGAGTGTACAGGCAATCAATGAACAGCTACAAAAGAACAAAGACCTTACAACAAAAATATCTGCAACTATTGAGTCAGATGACGAGGAGGAGGAGGAGAAAGGTAACGGCGGTGATTGGATGAAAACTGATAAAGGAGTCAGTATTAAGCCTAGTCTTAGTGACATCAACAATCCATGGTTTGCTGGTGAGCCAAAGATTGCGAAGAAAAAGGAAAATGATACGAAAACTGATGGGAAAGTTTATCATAAATTGCAGCCAATCACTTTAAAACAGGATGCATCAGATGCAAGTTCCGACAGTGAAGATGAACAAGACGTGGATTCCATGAAACCTGTTAGGAAGGTTAGATTTTTTGATGAACAAAATTCCAGTGATGATGAAGTGGAGATCAGAGATGCAAAAAGTAAAAATTTGCAACCATGGCAACCTTTAGTCAAGAGGACAGATACTGAAAATGGTTTGAAAGTGGATAATGAGGATGAACTCGATCGGAACTCTGATGATGAAGAAATAGAGCAAGAAAATAAAAACACCCCAACAAAGGTATCAAGTAGTAAAAAAATATCAGAACCAGTTGCTGATGAAAAAGAAGAGGTTCATGTTGACCCGACAAAATTTTTCGAAATAGAATCCCGGAAAATTCAATCTGAGAAACCAGATTTTGCCATTTTGGAAGATGACGCTGATGAGGACGAGCAACGTATCACCATTCAGCAGGCATTTGCTGATGATGATGTGGTGTCAGCGTTCTCCAAAGAGAAACTGGATAAAGTTGATAAGGATAAACCCAAAAATATTGATCTGAGCTTGCCAGGATGGGGAGATTGGGGTGGATCAGGGATTGTGCCAAACAAAAGGAAAAAGAAAAAGTAAGATGATATTTTTTTTTTTTTTTTGATAACATGTCCAGACATTTTTTTTAAATACTTGGTGACAGCTGATGATGTACCTCTGTTGCCATAGAAACCAAATTGCATTTACTGTACATGTATATACTTACCATTCTGTATCATTTCAAACTACTTCATGAAATATGATTCCAAAATAACCAAGTCATAGATTTGAGAGAGGCTTTCTGGTGAAAAACAACAACACTGTTTTTAAAATGGACATTTCCAGTACTGACAGAACTAATGTGGATACGATGGCTTCATTTTTGTGATTTTATAACAACTGGGATGATTTCCATTTTATTTTAAACCAAGAAACCACATTTTTTTACTTTTTTTTAATTGTTGGTACAGAAGTGCTGCAGTCTGATTAAAATAAGATCCTAATTTATAAAAAACGACAAAAAATAATAACAATATACCGTATTTGCTCTATTAGAAGGACATAACAATAAAACTTGTTGTTTCCCTGCAAAGTTTGTAGACTTAAAACCTAGGGAAATTGCTCAAAACATCAAAGTAGTGAAGTTAAATGGTTCATGGTACCAGTATGTTTCCATAGAAACACTTCTGTGATGTTCATTAGTACATGCCTGTCTAATATGGTTGTACAAATTAAATACAATGTATAACATCGAATAAAATACACA